AAAAAAAAAAAAAAAAAAAAAAAAAAAAAAAAAAAGTTAACATGTTTTTATGTCAAAGTTATTTTCCTTTATACCATAGAGTTAAAAAGTGTGCTGACCTATAAACCATTACTTGTTTATCCATTCAGCAAGCATATTCCCAGAGCCTAAATGTGCCAGGCATAGGTCAGGAAGTAATCATGCCTATCACTTACCGAATGCTTAGTGTGTTACCTGAGATTGGATTAGGTGCAGTCAGGTGCTTTGTTGTGAGTCAGTCAGTTCAGGGCGTCATCCCATAGACATATTGTCTGGTGACATCAGAGCAGACCATTGTTTTAAGGCAGAGTCTTGCTCTGTAATTCAGGCTGACCTTGAACTCACTATGTAGCCCATAGACTCATGGCCATCCTCCTGCCGCAGCCTCCCAAGTGCTGGGATTATATGTGCAAGTGTGCCTGGCTCATCAGAGCAGTCTTGGTTGTGTAAGGACGTGTTATGTTTGCAAAGAGAAGAAATGGCCCAAGCACACCACCACCGTTAAGTACCTGGACTTCACAGAAACTTCCCCACGGAGTGCTCGACACCGGCACTGGCGCTTATCTCTGTCCACAGATAAGGAAAAAGGGGTAACATGGAGAAAGCCGCACAGCTCAGAGGGGTTGGGACTGAGTCCCACACCAGTGGCCTGGGTCCCCTGTGCACCAACACCGCCTCACGGCCCTCAGGGCTCACGGAGGCAGGATGGGCCTGGGCCTGGCTAGCAGAGACCCGGACAGCTGTGTGCGCAGATGGTTACAGTGCATGAGTTGTCCTCGCCAAGGCATGGAGAAGGCCCAGGGGACACGGAATGACTGCCGAGGCCGCACGGGCAGAGGGGCCAGGAGGGCAGCTGGCGCCTAGGGAGCATCGGGGCTTTGGTGCTGAGGCCGTGGTGCCGGTGTCTGCTGCACCCCAGAGAAGGGTGTCCGGTCTTCGCAGAGAACACTGCTCAGCATTGCTGAGGGAGGGGATGACCCAGCTACATTGCGGAGAGCATAATCCCCAAATCCAGAGCTTTTTGTTTCTGTACGATCTTGATTTTACAATGAAAGATGGAGGAAAAGTGAGGCTAAAATAACTGAAAGATGGGGTGGAATTGTTTAGCGTAGGCCCCTCGGGCATGAGGCTGTGGCCTTCAGTGTCACTCTTCCTTTCTCTTTCCAAGAGCCCCCTGCCTCAGCATCCCCTCTACCTGGCTCTGTGGAGAAGGGAGGCCTGGACTGGCACCACTGTGCTCAGGCGGCCCATGGGAGCCATTGTGTGTTCTGGAGCATCTCCCTCTCCACACAGGGTCATGCTTCTTCGGATTGCGGAGGATGTAACCAGGCAAGAGCTGAGGAATTTTAAGTTCCTGTTGCACAAGGAGATCCCCAAGTGTAAGCTGGATGACAGCATGGTAAGGCCCCACATTGCGCACCACGGAGTCCTGAGGACTGGTTGGCTCAGGGGTCTTGAGACCAAAGGGAGAGGCTGTTCTGGGGAAAGCCCCGGGTGCTCACATCTTTTTTGCTTTTCCCCCATTACGTTTATTGGTACATTTAAAGCAAACAATACAGTTATGTTTATCGTTGGGACCTTCAGTGATACGTCCTGGTTCTTGTTTCTTCCCCATGCCTGTCCTTGCCCTCCCTTCACCCCCTTCACTCTTTCCTACTTACACTTTGTTTCATTTTTCCTTTTTTCGCATTTTTTCTTTTCCCTCTCCGTCCCACTTCCCCTTTAGCCATTTTCTTCCTGCTGGTGCTCACTTCTTCACAGGGCAGCAGAACTGCAGGCCCAGGCCCTCTCCCGAGGGAGGGAGGATGAGGGTGGTGGCTTGGGACGCTTCCCCACTGCATGTGGGAGGCAGCTCTGTGTGCGTGCAGTGTGTGTCTCCGTGTGTTTCTGCTGTGTTGTGTGTGGTTTGTGTGTCTGTGCGATGTGTTGTCTGTGTCTTGTGTGTGTGTGTGGCAGAGGCTGTGCGGTGTAGGTATCTGCCCCTGTGTGTCCGTGTCCATGTTTCTGTGTGAGTTGGGTGGGTGTGGGTGCATGAGTGAGTTCAGGTCTGGAAGTGGCCTGGTGTCAGAGGCCGTGTTGGGGTGTAAGGCAGTTCCGGGGTGCCTCCACGATGCCTCAGTCATGCACACAGGCCGGGGCACATGCGCGGCCTTGGGACAGCCTGAGCGCGGGCCTGGGGACTGACGGCGGCTCCTGAGGTGGCTTCTCCACCTGAACTCTTCTTTGGGGCTGGAGGCATACAACCGCCTCCCTCACTTCCTTGCCACCAGGAGCTGCTGGGGCTCGGGTAGCGGGGAATAAAGTGGGGCCTTGGTTGGCGAAAGGAAGTAAAAACATCTCCTCTCAAAGTGAATGTGGCCCAGCGCAGGCTTCCCACTGTGTCTCCTCCCCCAGAGCTTGCTGGACATCTTCATAGAGATGGAGAAGAGGGACATCCTCGGGAACGAGAGGTTGGACACCCTGAAGAGACTCTGTGAGCAAGTCAACAAGAGCCTGCTGCAGATCATCGTGGAGTACGAGAAGCTGCACAGAGGTGGGGTCGGGGGCCCAGCATCAGCAGCGTGGGACTCAGCGGGCAGGGCCTTGCCATTCTCCTTATGTCGGGATTTTCTCTTTTTAATTCAGAAGAGAGAATGAAGCCGGGACAAAGCCCAGACGCGTCTTCAAACGGTAATGCTTAGATTCTTGAGGTACACCAGGGACCCTGCTCTGGCACCCCCGCGTGGTTCCCAAGACCTTGTCGCATCCTCACAGCAGGATGGGAGTCGCTGGGGACTTGTAGTCGCCCTTCTCCAGAAAGGCGAAAAGTTGCTGAGTTACTCTGGGCAGCCCAGGCAGGTGCATTTGAACTTAGTGCAGAGCTGGTCAAGGATGAGTCTTTTCTTGTCGTTTCTTCCCCTCCCTTGGAGGTGTGCTGCCACATTCAAATTGTTTTTCAGAACTTCCGTGATTAAGTCACTTTCTCTTTCAAAAACAAAGTTCTTCCTTCTCCTGGTCAGAGGCCCCTTGGCCGAGTGTGAGGAGTCCCTCTCTTCCCATCTAGCCCCAGGACCTGCCTGCCTCAGCCTCCAGATGCTGCAGCCAGAGTGCTCTTCTTATCCCAGAGTGGTCGGGCCAGTACCTGACCCTGTCCCCTGGGAGCCCAGGGGGGACCTGAGGCAGGAGCTCAGAAGACCTCCTGCAAAACTTTGATTAAGCACCTGCTTCTGATTGTAAAGTTATCCATACTCACAAGAATGATTACAAATTCAAAGAATTTAAAATCCCACAAACGTCATCACCCAGTACATATTACCATTGCTAATGTGTTACATTTTCACCTGGCCTTGTGTGTGTGTGTGTGTGTGTGTGTGTGTGTGTGAATGTGTATGTGACATATGTTTTGGGCTGAGCCCTTTTAAGGATCAAGGGCACTTTTGTGCTGTTGAATTAGTAATTCATCCTGCACTAGTGGTTCCACTAAGGAATATCTCACAGATGCCACAAAACTTGACCTGGCGACGTGGAAGAATGTAAAATGACGACCCTTCCTGGCGCTGGTGTTAAGACAGTTCGCGCCTGGGTCTCCAGAAGCCCCGAGCTGTGCCACCTGCCGGCTCTGTGGCTGGGTGGTGCTGTCCAGGCCAGCGGGGACCCTTACCGCGAGCACCTTGCCGGGTCGGGTGCTGGTGCCTCACTGTAGCTGTCTTGCTTGTAGAGGAGGAGCCCATGACGGTGGACACATTGGACGTTTCAGAAGGACAGGACGAGTCACAGGTACGGAAATGCCTCCGGATCCTCCCTTGAGCAGTGCAGATTCTGCTGCTTGTATTTGTTAGATTTTTTTCTTTTTTAGCTTCCAGAAAAGCCAACAAATAGCAGAAATTTATTGACAAATTTGAGAACTGCAGAAAAAAATCTACAAAGGGTGAGCTAAAAAGGTGACCTCATTTTGAAAAATACATCTCTTCCGGCTTCTGTGTGTTATATTTCTATTGCGAAGCCAGAGACAGCAGCAGGGAGCAGCAAGGGAGCCTCCTGGGTCCCCCACAGTGGTGAGGACCTCAGGCAGCGTCTATTGGGCACGGACAGGCAGAGCCTTTTGCTCTCTTAGCTTGATGTTTAAAATTTCTTCTCCTTTGCGATGGGATGTAAGCAATAAACATAATCTAGTCATCCCTGCTCTCACCTCATGAGTCAGCGGAAACGTTTCCTTTCAGACACAACCTCCAAACCCCATCGGGGCAGTCGGACCACCAGTCCGCCCCTCCCCGTGGTGGCAGGGAGCGAAGGGCGGGGACCCCAGAATCAGGCTTGAGACGCCATCTGCTGATGTGGGCAACTGAGGAAATCGCCAGGCTTCCCTCCCTCTCAAATCCGGGCTGACCGGAGTGATGCAGCACCTTAAGGCAACGTAGCAGAATTCCGCCATCACCTCCCCACCCAGGCTGAAGCCAGTCTTGCTCTGTCACTCAGCCTCGTCCCGCAGCACCCTGGCAAACACCTCTGAGGACCCTTCAGGGGCTCTGTGCCCTCTCAGGCGAGGGACGGGCTCCATGCCTTAGTAGACGTGCCCAGACGCGAGGGGTTCAGAAACCTGCTCCGAGGCTTCAGGTCGGGAAGACACAGAGGCAGGACCCGGCTTCCTGTCCTGGAGTTCATTTCTCCGCTTCACGGGGCTGCTCCGGCTTCCAGCCAAATGCTGGATCCCAGGACCCCTGTGAGCGCGGGAGGCGAACCAGGACGGCGGCCGCGGCGTGACCAGGACACCGGGACCCCTGCGGTAACGTGTGAAGCCCTGAGTTCGAGCCCTAGTACTGGGGAGGCGGGACTTACTATAGCTACAGAGGAGGCCTTGGAAGAAGCTATAGGAGTTGAGAGTGAAGAATGACAAACACCCTTGAGAGATGATACTGGAACCAGCCACTGAGGATGAGTGAGAATCTGCCTGGAAAGTGGGGCGCCCCTCCCACCTGTAGGCCTGGCCTGACTGGCGTTCTCAGGACCCAGGCTTTCCTCCTTGCAGGGCCGCCCCGCAGTTCGCTCCTGAGGCGGCTTTTGTTTTGCAGACACCGGACCAAGTTTACCAAATGAAAAACAAGCCTCGGGGGTACTGTTTGATCTTCAATAATTATGATTTTAGTGAGGCGCGGAAGAATATCCCCCACCTTGGCAAAATGAAGGACAGGAAAGGAACAGACTTCGATGCAGGTATAGTAGATCCCAGAGAAGTGAAATATTTCTTATACCTGTTTTATCAGAAGGAGGAGGAAAAGAGCTGTATCACAAGGGTACATGTTTCAAGAAAGCAGATTTGAAGGTCTTCCCTCGTGGAGGTGCAGAACATTCTTACATATTTTTAGTGCTCTGCTTTTATTTCAAATTAATTTTAAAATCAAAACAATGCAGGGATAAAATATCAAATCGTACTAGAGGCTTACACTGAAGTGCGGCAGTGAATTTTAATTTTAACTCCGCCAAATGCGCAGTGATCCGTAGTGCGCAGGAGCGGGAGGCGCCCTGGTGTCGGGCGTTGGTGTCACGCGCACAGGGGTTGCAGGTTGTGTTTGTGAAGTTGTGCTATTGAGTGCCGCACACATTGTGAGCTCCTAACAAAAATGATATTTTCAAATGTTAAACTAACCCGAAGTTCTTTTATTCAACCTATAGAACTAAGACTGGGAATTACAGATTAGACGGAAAAGTAATTGTGGATGGGAATATAAAAATGAAGGTGACTGAAGTAATAATAGAAGTCACCCAATCAAGCCTTTGAGGTGTTAACAGTTTTGGTTTGATAAAAGGACTTTTTCAGATGGTATTTAAAGGACTGAATGATGTTAGAAAATCAGTGCAAGCTGATTATAACCACCAGGGCTCTGCAGTGGTCCCCGTTACCATTTGATCTATTCATTTGCGCAGAGCTACTCTAAAGCTTTAGCCACAGAATTGAGGGCCAATGACCACAGCGTGCGCTCGGCAGGCCTTCTATCCTATTCCGCTAACAGTTTGAAATTCCTATGAAGTTGATTTGATTTCTGCCACCATTTTTCTCATATCCGGCCCACGGCGAGCGTCTGGTCTGCCGCTCTTTGAGTCTGCACATCCGTCTGCTCCACACGCAGAGGAAGTCGGAGGCCCGCCTCGGGCGTTTCTCCTGAGCGGTTCCCTCTGCTCTGCGGTCATTTTCTTCATCACGTCCGCTTCCAAAAGGGTCAGGATGTCCCCCAGAACCAGGAGTTTCCCCAGAAGTCTCCTAAACCCACAGGGTCCATTGCCTTTCAAAGTTCTCTTTCTCCACTCCTAGAGCTGGACTGGCTCCCGCCTGAGGATGTGATGTGATGTGATGCGATGTTTTGCTCTGATGTGCTAACAGGGACACAAAATGCTAGAGAGGAATTAGCGTGGATATTCTAACAAGGACTGAGAAAGCAGGAACAGAGACAGCTAATGAAAGGTCTCAAACAATTTTTGGAAGATGAAATAAAGGAGGAGAGGTAATAAATGCAACACAACAAAATTACAACCTAAGCGATTACAGAGAGAAACCCAGAAAAGAGACAAATCTGTTTATTCCACAGCACCCTCGAAAATTTCAGTAATGGGAGGTCCAAATTATTGTTGAGGCCATGAACTGAAAACAGGAAGATTATCTGAAAGTCTGTAAGACACAGTGCCCGCCTCCCCGACTCACCCCACAGAGCCATCCTCTTACAACACGATGAGGTGCAGGAAGCTTATTCTCTCATACACGGAACAGATGAACTGGGGACTGGGACGCCAGGCCGGGCAAAGCAAGCATCTTACCGAAGATGGCGGTTAACGAAGACCCGACCTCTGGTGGCATGGAGTCTGATGCCTAACCCAAGCTTTTTCCAAGATCGGAGCAGCAGAGATGAATTTTCTGTCTACAGATAAGGACATCTGAGGGCCTCTTAATCAAAGGGCCGGCTCCCTGAGAACCATTCCACTGCGAGTCCTCCAGCGGACAAGTCACAGCATAGAGGTTTCAGTCAACTTTTCAGTTGGTGCATTGCTCACACTGTGAATGGACAGCGGGTCCAGGCACAGGAAGAGCACGTTTCACAGAGAAGAAGAAATACAGCAAGGAAAAAATAAGATGGATTCTGCAAAAAACAAAGTAATGTCAAGGGGAAGGAGACTGTATTTAGTATTTTTAGAGAGATAGTAAAAGGCTCATAAAAGAACAAGATTTTATGAAAACAAGATAGAACAAGAAAGGATACTTGAATATTTAAAATATGTCACATGTATCAAGTAACAGTAATCAAAAAGTCACTGGCCTCCTCAATAACAACCCTGGTATCTAAAAGACTCCACAGGGTTAGGGATTTAGCTCAGTGGTGCTACCACTTGCCTCAAAAGAACAAGGACCTGAGTTTGATCCCTAGTACTAAAAAACAAAAACAATACCCAAAAAACAAAACCACAACCAAATAAAAGACTCGATAAGTACCTTCAAATTTCTTTTTTTTGTTTTTGCTTCTTGAGACAGGATCTTGCTATGTAATTCAGGCCAGTCTTGAACTCACTATGGAGCCCAGGCTGGCCTCAATTGCTCAGTGATCTTCCTGCCTTAGCCTCCCAAGAGCTGGGATTACAGATCTGAGCCACCATGCTTGGCCACCTTCAAATTTCTGAAGATGAAGTAGTTTTGGACATTCTGTATCCAGTTAAACTCTCAAAAAGTATGAAAGTAAAAGTTAAGACTCAAACATGGGCTCAAAAGGGTTCTAGCAAAACAAGTCAATGACCCAAGGAAGAAGGAAGTTGTCCTTTAGGAAATAGGGGCCCTGCTGGGAAAGAATGAGAAGTGTCCGGAGGAGAGGATCTGTCAGGGGTGTGTGTGTACGCAGGAGTGGCTCTCCGATGGGAAGTTCTTCAGGAAAAGTAAAAGTGAGTCACACAAGCAGCTCAGAAGGGTTGAAAGACTTTGACCAGATCTCTTAGTACATTTGAAGGGAAAATAATGGGAAGCAAACTTTAAAAATGTATAACAATTCCCAAAAAACACAAAGCTTAATAAGAAAGGGAATATAAAGAATATTATATTTACATAGTTCTAGTAACATAAGTGTTATCCCGGATTCAACTCAAAATGATAAAAAGTGGTGTAAAAGTAGTAAGTGCTCATCCTCCATAATAACTCAGGGCAAAAGTCTCAAATTTGTAAATGAATAAATAGCTATGTACCCAACTTTGCTACACAATGGAGCCAAGAAACAAAAGCAGTTAAGCTGAAAGTGGTTGCTTTTATGGGACATGACTGGGTAATAGAGGTATATATAGAGAATGACTTTTCTAATAGATCTTTTAGTTTTAATTTTTATTGGTATCTTTTATTTTGATAAATATAAAAAGTATGAAAGGTTTCAGCATAAACAGAGACACTGCATTCAAAAATTACTTGTGTTTTTTCTGATTAAGTGAGGAATAGAATCACCATTTGGGTCAGCCAGGTATTAACCCTACATAATAGCTTGCACACCTTGTGAGAAGTGCTGACAGGGTAGCAGGGCAACAGTGACATGCTCTCCTTTCCTGTGTGAGTCAGGGCTTGAGAATGCCTGCAGCTGGCGACAGTAATCACCAGAAGGGTCTACAGCCCAGCTCCTGACTCAGAACACCTCGTTCTTTAAGCTCTGGCTCGCATCCTCCTGTACCACTGTCAGTCATCTCTCTCCAGCTTTGTGCTGTGGTGTGGGAATCACGGGGGTGGAGTATGATCTTTCTTATTTCCTTCACATTTCAGAGACTTTGGAGGGGACCTTCACTGAGCTTCACTTTGAGACGGTTCCTTGCCAGAACTTCACAGCACAGGCGATCTGTGACATGCTGCGGCACTACCAAGGCATGGACCACCGGGACAGAGACTGCTTCATCTGCTGTGTCCTCTCCCATGGAAACAGCGGTGTTGTCTATGGCACGGATGGGCAGGAGGTGCCCATCTCTGAGCTCACCTCTTACTTCACTGGTTCCAAATGCCCCTCCCTCGCGGGGAAGCCCAAAGTGTTTTTTATTCAGGCTTGTCAAGGGGAGAGGTGCCAGAAAGCTATACATGTGGAGATGGACTCAGATAAGTACGATGCCGACCTACAAGAGGACTTGTCATACCCATGGAAAACCATCCCGGATGAGGCTGACTTCCTGCTAGGAATGGCCACTGTGGACAGCTGTGTTTCCTACCGAGACCCCACGCAGGGGACCTGGTACATCCAGACGCTGTGTGAGAGCCTGAGAAGGAGATGTCCTCAGTGAGTTTTGCCTCCGACCCTTCTCCATTGCAGCCACCCTGCTCCCTTCGCCATGACCTCTTCCAGGCATCCGTGCTCCGGGCCCCCTGGGAAGTGTCTCATGGCCGAGGCTGCCCGAGGGAGTGGCCTCCACTTGTCTCAGTATCTAGCTGTGTGTCACACAGCTGCACTCTCCAGGCTGGGTGTGATGTCGGGGAGGCAGACGTGTTCCTGGGTTTACGCCCTGGTGGGAGTGGGCGTGCTCACTGAGCGACCTTCCTTTATTCAGCACCTCCAAGGATAGTGGACCTGCCCTAGCTTGGGAGGATGCGCCTCATGCAGAGGCATGGGATCTCCAGAAGGCAGGAGCCCACCATAGGCCTCACACCCTCTACTCTGTCGGGCATCCTGTGACAGCCCGCCAATTTCACACCATCTTGGTGCACTGAGACATAGGTAGCAAAGAGCAGCGGACCCACACGCTTGCTGAGTAGACCTGCTGTGAAGAAAGAATGTGGGAAACGTCCCTCCCTCATTGACACATAATCACTTCCTTTAGTCAAGTTAGGATTTAAATGCAACAGTGCGTTCAAGGGGACACACAGCTGACAGATAAAGGGCGAGGAATCCTTCCAGCTGGTTCCTTCCAGCCAGATTTCTCACTATGTTTTGAGTGTGTGAAGAGGAGGAATTTCCCATGACTTGTAAAGAGTGAACCGTAAGGGCAGCATGACGTGTTCATCTTGTAATTCGGGCATGGATCCCGCACCCTTCTGGGGTGAGATGTACAGAGATGAGACTGCTTGACAAAGCTGTCAAGACAGATGGTGCCACAGAATGGGAGGAGGCGGCTGCAGAAGACACGTGGCCTTCGCTTGCCTAAAGTTTGGTCGCACTGCACGTGCGCGCACAGAGCAACATTGGTTTTGCACAGAGACTATTGGGGAGCAAGGAGGTGCTGGGGGCGCCAAGTGACACGCAGATGGGGCAGAGTGAGATTCCACAGGACGGGCGGGAAGAATCAGAGCTAGCGCTGGCACTGAGGTTTCTGATGGTCAGGAGAGGTTCTGAGTAAACCAAAGGCAAGTGGGTCTTGGATGGGCAACTGTGGCTTCAAATGCCTGCTGCTTTGAGGGGAGGAACCCTGAGGGCATGGCAGAGGGGACAGCGGAGTGGTTTTCTTCCCCACCATGATCACATTGTTATGCTCTGTTTTGCAGAGGTAGTGATATCCTCACCATCCTGACAGAAGTGAACATGGAGGTGGGCAAAAAGATCAACCCAAAGAACATGGGCAAACAGATGCCCCAGCCGACCTTCAGCCTAAGGAAAAAGCTGTTCTTCCCCACTGACTGACGCTGAGGTCCAGATGTGGAACAATGCGCTTCTCCAAAGATCAGTCAGCTGCTGTTTGCACTTATTTTGGAAGGCGACAAAGGAGAATGGAGTTTCGTGCTATAATAGGATGTAGGACACATCAGTAGCTGACTCCGGGAGAACACCAGTACACCCGCCCCTTCCGAGGTGTCCTCTACACTACTTTTTCTTCTATTTTGCTGGGGTTGAACCAGGACTTCCTGTGTGCCAAGTGAAACCCCGCACTGCTGTTAACATATTTGAGAGTATTAGGTTTGAAAGTGTTGATTTTTCACATAAAAACTTTAAAAACCAAGCTGCTCCACAGATCACTCCGTTCTCAGCCTCGCTGTGCTCAGCCTGCTGCTTTGCATTACAAGGTTTGGTTTTGCTGCTCCTTGGTGCCCTTTTGTCCTCTCTGTAAGCCTTTTGTAGCTATCTGCGGGTGCTAAAAGCTTTTTAGGAAAATAGAATAAAATAGCACCTTCCTATTTATTAGAGATTCTTTTGTCTGTTTTTTTCTTTCCAATGCATTTTACAAGTGGAAAACACTCAGATCCCAGACCTATTCTGCTTGAGGCACCCAACACTGGCTTCTACTGTTGTGTTTTTAACATCGGGGTGAACACTCACAAAATTTAAAGACATTACATTACAGAATATCTTCTGAGGAGTCAGACTGCCTGACAACAGTGACCTCGTGCAGCAGAATGGCACCTTCTGACTGATCTGGGAAATCAGGTTGGTAGCCATGCCTGTCAGGCTGTGGTCTGTGGCCACTGTCTCTGTGTTCTGTGATTGTCTTCTTTACGTCTGCTCCATTCAATGTTGCTGCCCACTGTGTGGGCACTGGGATTCTCATGATGGCTTAGAGAACAGAGCCAGGATCGTCTGACTCCTCTTCCCGAATCACAGGTGCAAGGACATGAGGGAAGTGGGCTTATGGGCACAGGTTCGAGGGCAAAGCTCTGGGATCGAATCAATCCATTATCTGTCTTGTTAGCTAAATACTCCAGGAGGACAAAACTATAACTTGAAATAAACTCAGCATTCAGGAGGAAGAAGGCTTTCAAATTACTATAGTCTCTTTTTAGTCAAATATGCAAAAGTGGAAGAGAAAATAGTACCCAGCCCAGAGAAAGCTTCCAGGCATAGAGCACATCAGTTTCCAGAGTTTACAGAAGGTGTGCCCTTGAGATGAGAGTTCCAACATTCCCCACCTCTCAGACGAAAGCTAAGTGTGGCAAAAATTGAGCCACCCGAGAAGTCAACTCATTACCAGCTTTTCTCAAGAAAGCCCCCAGACATTCCCTACGCCTGCAAGGCTGGCTCCCCACCTCCTTGGCTGTGGAGAGCAGTCTTGTTTATGATTCTCCTCTTTTGTCACTACCATCTTCTAACATGCCCAAGTCACGCTCACAAGGAGTAGCAGAGGTGGAGCTCTCAGATGGTCTCTCACAAATCTCTTCATTCTTGGTAACTATCTTTTGCCTGTAAACAGAGCAGAAAGATATATCACTGTAGAGCCAGGGTGAGGAGGACAGTGGGAGGAAGAGTGGCTTCCTTCCTTCCTGAGGGCACATCACACTCATTACTTGTAATGGTTTCAAATTTGGTGAGCTACGGTGGTTGGATGACCAAACTCCCATAGGAGGAATTTTCTTTTTTTTAAAATAAGAATCTGTGTTAGTAAATATTAGTTACACAGATGAATGTATTTTGTTTTGGCAGATTTGGACATACAAGTAATAGACTTTGATCATTTCTGCCCCTATAACTCTCGTCTGTGCCTCCCTTTCCTTCTTTTTTCCCCCTCTGTACTGGTCACACTTCTGCCTTCACGCCCCCCCCCTTAGAGTGAGAAATCAGAATACAACATATATATCATATGACATATATATAACAGAAAACATGCCACGGGGTCTTTCTGAGCTGGGCTGCTTCTGCTTAACATGATGATCTCCAATTCCACCCCCGTTCTTGCATATGACATGATTCTGTTCTCTTCTTTTGTGTTTAATATGATTGTTGTTGTTATTTTTCCATTCTATTATTAGTGTCTATCAATTGTACAAAATATTGGTTTGCATGAGTTTCCCTATTGCCTTCCTTCACACCTCTTCCCTTCTACCTCACTCCCTTCCCCTTGTCTAGTAATAGTTTCTCATGCGCTCATGTCACCGTTCTTAGATTCCACATGCTAAGGAGGATGTGCAGCATTGGTCTTTCTGAGTTTGCTTATTTCAGTCAACGTGACGGTCTGTGGATCTGTCCATATTCCTTTAAAATGTCAAAGTTTCGTTCTTGATGGTGAAATAGTATTCCACTGTGTGTATATACATTTTCTTTATGTACTCATCTGTTCGTGGGCACTGAGGCTGGTTCCCTGTCTTGGTTTTTATTACAAATTGTGCTGCGATAAAGATGACATGCAGGTGTCCCTATGGTGCACTGACTAATTCTTTCTGGTGCATACCAAGTAGTGGCACAGTTGAATCAAATGGTAGCTCTTTGTCTAGTCTTTTGAGGACCATCCATTCATATTTCCACAGTGGCTGTATACTAATTTACATTCCTAACAGCATTTAATGACTTTTCATATTCTTGGTGACAGCCATGCTGATGGGGTGGGGGATGGGGTGGGAAGGCCTGTCAAGCAGTTTTGATTTGCATCCCCTAATGTCTAAAGATGTTGCATATCTTGTCGCATACTTTTTGGTCATTTGTACTTCCTTTGAGAAGGGTCTGCTCAGTTCATTTGCACATTTATTGGTTGGGACATGTGGTTTTTGGTGTTAAGCAATTGAGTCCTTTATATATTCTAGATATTAATCCTTTGTCGGAGAGTAGCTGACAAAGATTTTTCTCCTTCACTGTACCTCTTCACTCTGTTAGTTGTTTCCCTTGCCGTACAGAAAGTTTTTAAATTCCATGTAGTCCCCTTTGTTGATTCTATTTTCTGTGCCGTTGCAGTCTTATTCAGGAAGTCTTTGCTTGTGTCCATGGCTTCAAGTGTTTCTCCTGTCTTTTATTTTAGCAGTTTCTAAGTTTCAGGTCTTATGTCTAGGTCTTTGATCCCTTTTTAGTTGATTTTTTTTATAGGGTAAGAAACAAGGATCTAATTTCAGTCTTCTACAAATTGATATCCAGTTTCCCAGCAGCGTTTGTTAAGGAGGCTGTCTTTTTTTCCAGCATAAGCTTTTGGCACCTTTGAGAAGAATCAGATGGCTGTAGTTTCAAGGCTGTGATTCTATGTTGTCTACTCCGCTCCACTGGTCTATGGGTCTATTTTTGTGCCAGTATCATGCTGTTTTTGTTGTGATGGTTTTGCAGTATACCTTGTTTTATTGTTTGTTTTGTTTGAGAAAGGGTCTAACTATGTAGCCCAGGCTGGCCTTGAACTCTCAATGATGCTTTCTGTGGGTTTTGGCCTGCTCTATATTGAAATATGATCTTTTAATACCTAGATTCTTAAGAGCTTTTATCATGAAGGGAGGTTGAATTTTGTCTAGACTTTTTCCTGCATCAATTTAGATGATTGTTTTTTTAATCCTTGTCTATTTATGTGGTGTATTAGTTTTGTTGATTTGTGTATGTTGAACTATCCTTGCAATCCTGGAATAAAAGCAATTTAATCATGGTACATGATCTTTGGAATGTGCTGCTGAATTTGGTTTGTGATTATTTTATTAAGGATTTTTGCATCTATGATCATCAAGGATATTTATAAGGAGAAGGGAAAGGGCATGTTACTAGAACCTCTGCAGTAAGTCCTAGTCTTCTGTGAGCCATGACAGCACAAGGCAAATTAATTAATATATAGACAGGAAAAAAAAGAAGAAACAAGACTTAGAGAAGAAGCTGAGTTTTGGGCCTGATCAGTACTGCTCTGGGCAGCAAAGACGAAAGCCCCTGAGCTTGCCACACCTTTATTCAGTACATCAGGAGCAACAAATACTAGAGATGACTCAGGGGAAAGAGTTCAGTGCATTGGAGAGTAACAAATATAAAAGGTCACCGGGAAAGTGGTGGCGGCAGGGGTTGAAAGTCCTAGAACAATGAGGAACTATGCAGATGAAGATTTTGTTCCTGCCCAGGATGTCTTCTGTGGTGTAATCTTGCCCTGGAGCCTCTGTGACTGGAGACCAGAATGGAGTTCTGTCTGGACATGCCATAGCTGGCCTGTAGGCAGGAGAACTAGACCTAATCATAATTTTAATTATGAAATGATTTTCCCCAAAATTATGTAGACTTGCTCCTGACAGATACTGTGCTATAATGTTTTATATTCAATATAAAGGTTATACTGGCCTTGCAGAACGAGTTTGGAAGCATTCCTTCCTGGCCTGTTTCACAGAATAGCCTGAGGAGCATTGGCATGAGGTACTTAAAGGTCTGCAAGATTTGGTAGTGAACCTTCTGGTTCTGGGCTTTTCTTTATTCAGAGACTTCTTATTACATCTTCAATTTCATTGCTTAAAATCAATCTGATTAGGGGCGGGGGTTTGGCTCAGTGGTTCCACCGCCTGCCTCACAAGTGCATGGGCCGTTTCACAGAATAGCCTGAGGAGCATTGGCATGAGGTACTTAAAGGTCTGCAAGATTTGGTAGTGAACCTTCTGGTTCTGGGCTTTTCTTTATTCAGAGACTTCTTATTACATCTTCAATTTCATTGCTTAAAATCAATCTGATTAGGGGCGGGGGTTTGGCTCAGTGGTTCCACCGCCTGCCTCACAAGTGCATGGGCCCGAGTTCGATCCCTGGTACCCCAAAAAAAAAAAAAAAGAAAATCAATCTGATTAGGTTTTTCATATCTTCTTGGTTCAGTTTTGGTAGGTTATATATGTCTAGAAATTTATTAATTTATTCTAGATTATCCTATGTATTAGAAAATAGGTTTTCAAAATAATAGTGCCTGTTATCACATCTTCTTTTTCATCCCTAATTGTATTGATTTGGATGTTTTTGCTCTTTTGGTTAGTTTGGCTAAGGGTTTATCAATCTTGTTTTATTTTTTTAACCAGATCTTTATTTTATTGATCTGTGTATTGTTCTTTTAGTCTCTATTTCAACTCTGATATGTATTATTTCTTTCCTTCTGTTGGTTTTTGCTTTGGTTTGTTCTTGTTTTTCTAAGACCTTGAGGTATATCATTAGGTTGTTTAAGATCTCTGTGATTTTTTAAAATATAGATTCTTATGGCTATTAAATTTTCATCTTAGAACTGCCAGTTGCTGGTACAGTGGTATCTTGGTTCATGAACTTAATTTGTCCCACAGTTCTGGGAAATGTGGCCACATTCGTGTTTGTGTGGGAAAGATGGCTGTGGTTGTGTTCATCACCTGATGCACATTTTGCAAACAAAAACAAAATTTTACCCAACACTCATTTGTGAACCAAATTGTTTGCAAACAAAAGTGTTCATGAACTGAGGCACTGCTGTACATTATATTTTAATTTTCATTTGATTCTAGGAATTTTAAAATTTCTTCCGATTTCATCAATGACTCACTGATCATTTTAAAGCAAATTGTTCAATCATCTCTATGTGTCTGTCTAGTTTCTCTTAGTGATTTCTAGTTTCATTTCATTATGATCAATTAAGTGCAATAAATTATTTCAATTTTTTGTACTTGTTAAAGTTTGTTTTATGGCTTAAAATATCTATTTTGGAGAACTTTTCATGAGCCACTGAGAAGAATGTATATTGTGGGGTTGGATGCAATTTTCTGTAGACACCTGTTAAGTCTACTTGGTCTATGAGATAGTTTACTTCTGATGTTTCCTTGTTGATTTTTTAATCTGAATAACTTATATGTGAGAGTGGAGTATTGAAGTCACTATTACTATATTGAGATCTATGTATCTCTTTCTGTCAAGTAGTGTTTGCTTTATGAAACTGGGGCACCAATATTCGTTGCATATATATTTACAAATGTTATATTGCTTGCTGGATTGTTCCCTCCACCAACATGTAGTGGCCTTCTTTGTCTTGAATAATTCGGTCTTATAGTCTGCTTTGTCAATGTGAGTGTGCGCTTTTGGATTCCACTTGTATGAAATATTGTTTTCCATCATTTTGCTTTGTTTGTATTTTTCTGTGCTAGTGAGGTATATTTATTGGAAGCAGCAGAGTTGGGTCTTATTTTTTACTCCAATCTGCCAGTCTTTGTCTTAACTGGAAGATTAACTGTCTTAATTAACTGAATAAATTAGAGAATTAACTGTCTTAATTGGAAAACCTATTTAAATTTAGGGTTATTATAGAAGAGTATTTTCTAATCCCTGTCATTTTGGGGTTATTTTGTTAATATTTGATTCTTTCCTAATTCTCAATAGTTTATTTACTCTCCTTCTGCGTGTAGGATTCCTTTCTATATCTCCTGCAAGTTGGCTCAGTGGTCATCCAATTCTATGGTACATGCTTATCTTCGAAAGTTTTTCCTTCAGTTTTGAAGAATAGCTTTGTTGGATACAGTAATCGAGCTTGGCAGTTATTTTCTTTCAGAGCTTGAGACACATCGTTCCATCCTCTCCTGGTCTTTACCCTTTCTGCAGAGGAGTCTGCAGTTGATGGATCTGCCTCTATAAGAGCCTTTGTGCTTTCCTCTTGCATCTTTCAATATTCTCTTCTGGTTCTGCACTCTTGACATTTTATAGTATGACATGGGGAGGCTCTTTTCTGGTCCAGACTACTTGGGATTCTCAGTGCCTTCTTACCCGGATATCTATATATTTTACAAGACATCGGAAGTTTTCTGTTACCGTTTTATTAAAGAAAATTTCTATGCCCTTACTCTGAACCTCAGTACTCTTTTCTACACCCAAAATTCCTAAGTTTGGTGTTTTAACTATGCTCCAGAATTCTTGAGTATTTTGTTTATAATTTCTTGCTTTTTAAAAATTAGTATCTCAATGTAATAATTCCTCAACTTTATCTTTACCCTTGAAATTCTATATTCTGCTTGATTCTGTCTATTGGTGAGGTTTTGTACTGTGTTTTTCATTTGACTTATCATGCTTTGCATTTCCAAGGCTTCTGTTTAGTTCTTCAGAAAGTCGCTCTTTGTTGAATCACTCTTTCCTATCCTTCATTATCTGTTTAATTCATCAAGCGGGATTTTTCTTGTATTCTCTTTGAAGTAATTAATTATTTATCCATCACCTTTTAAAATTGCTTGTCCAGCATTTCGTCCATGTTGATATTTTTGTATTCAGTTACTGGTGAATTTTGGACGCTGGTGGAGACACTGTCTTGTTTTTCGGGTTTAGATTTGTGCTTCTGTTGGGATGGGTATCTCTTCCACTTTTATTGAGGGTCTTCTTAAGTGTTCAGCTTTACATGCTTGATCTTCAGCACCACTCAGAAAAAAGAAACAAACCGCAGCAATGATGATGACACAAAGACAAACCAGGTATTGATACAGAGCAAAAACAAATAAAAGCAACAATTCTTCCATGATTTGTAGTAGAAAAAATAAACAAGGCTAAAAATTGATGTTAAAAGTAGTAACGATAATAAATGGAGGGCTGGGGAAAAGAAAAAAATGGAAGAAGCAATTTTTGGAAAGCAAGATGAGAAAGAAGAAGAGAAAATGTAAGATTAAAAATCCAATGAAAGAATAAAAAATAACTAGAATTAGGTGACAGTGACAGAAAACTAACACGAGAAAAATAAGAAAAACCCCACAAAAGCCAAAGCCAACAACAGGCGTCCTGATGGCCTTCTCCCTGCCCGCTCGGGGCCTGGCGCCCTGGAGGCACTCGGGGTTCGCTCCTTTCGCGCCCTCCGATCCCTCTGCCTGCAGCCGGCGCTGTGACCGTGGGCGCACAGGTGCCCACTGGGCTCTGTGCTGAGCCCGAGC